TGATGATGTTGATCAAAGTGTAGAAATATCTGACGAAGAGCTGGAACAGGTAGACATTCCTGTTGAGGTGGAGCATGTTGATGTTGAATTGTGTATCCCAGATGAAGCAGAAGATACAGAGGAAGTTGAGGAAACTATCGATAACTACCTATTGGAAAGATATAGGACGAGAAGAGTCATTAAGCCACCTTAGAGACTTGGGTATGCAGATCTTATAGCTTATGCCTTAACCTCTGTAAGTAAGGTTCTAGACGAAGAACCCAGAGACCATAAGGAAGTTATGAGGAGTCAAAATAAGACTGAATGGCTGAAGGCCATGGATGATGAGATGAAATATCTTCATGATAACAACACTTGGGAACTGATTAAGAAACCTGCTAGAGCCAGGTTAGTTAGTTGTAAATGGATTTTCAAAGTTAAGGGAGGAATCAAAGGAGTGGCGTCGAAAAGATACAAGGCAAGATTGGTCGCAAGGGGTTTCACTCAGAAAAAAGGTGTCGACTTTAATGATGTGTTTTCTCCTGTTGTGAAGCACATGTCCCTTCAAATGTTGCTTGTCGTGGTGGCACAGTTCGACCTTGAACTGAAACAAATGGATGTGAAGGTTGTGTTCTTGTATGGTGATCTAGATGAAACAATCTTGATGAGGCAAGCTGAAGGGTACATCAAAAAGGGAAAAGAAGATTATGTGTGCAAGTTGAAAAGATCATTATATGGGCTGAAACAATCTCCTCGTTAGTGGAATAGGAGATTCGATAAGTTCATGACACGTATAAGTTTCATTAGAAGTCATTTCGACCATTGTGTTTACTTCAGATTTCGACCTGGTAATTCATTTGTTATTTTGTTGCTTTATATTAATGATATTCTCATAGCAAGAAACAATGTCGAAAATGTAATGAGGGTGAAGGTTGAACTCAATAAGGACTTCGAAATGATGGATCTAAGAGTAGCGTCCAGGATTTTGGGATTTTCATTTGAAGAGATAGAAAGCAGTTGAAATTATGCTTATCTCAAGAGGCATACCTACGGAAGATTCTCGAGAAGTTTGGTATGTCGAATTCAAAGCCTGTTGTAACTCCAGCAAACCCTCAATTCAAGTTGAGTATAAATCAATGTCCCAGTACTGATGTTGAAAGAGCTTATATGAATAGCATCCTATATGCTAATGTAGTAGGTTCTTTAATGTATGTTGAGGTATGTACTAGACCCGATATAGCATATGCAGTAAGTCTTGTAAGTAGGTACATGGCGAATCTTGGAAAGGCTCACTAACAAGCATTGAAGTGGATTCTATGGTACATAAATGGGTCTCTGAACAGAGTCCTTATTTATGGTGGAACCTTGGGTGAAGATAGTAAAGGAGTAATCGAAGGATATGTCGACTCTGATTATGTAGGTTGTATGGATTCCCAAAAATCCATTTCTGAATATGTTTTCACTATGTTTGGCACAACAATTAGTTGGAAAGCGACACTTCAGAATGTTGTTGCCTTATCAACCACTGAAGCAAAAATATATTGCCCTCACTGAAGCTGTGAAAGAAGCATTGTGGCTTGAAGGTTTTTCTAAAGAGTTGAAACTTCAAGGTCAAGTTATCATTGTTGAATGTGATAGTCAAAGTGCAATGCACCTATCGAAGAATTCAGCTTATCATGAGCGAACCAAGCACATTGATGTGAGGTTGCATTTTGTTAGAGGGGTAATCAAGTGTAGAGAAGTCCAAGTGCTGAAGGTTTCGACAGATCATAATGTTGCTGATATGATCACCAAGACATTGCCCAGTTGTAAGTTTTTCCACTGTATGTAGTTGGTAAAGCTGCATGAAGAAAGATAGTTTATTCTTTTGATGTTGGAGTTTGTTCCAAGGTAGAGATTTGTGAGATATTGGATCGAACTCTATTGGGTCGAAGGATAATTTCTTGGTTTCGACAGTTCAACAAAGTTGTAACATGTAGTCGAAGGTTGATCACATGCTGGTGTCGAAGTATTGTATGATGTAGTCGAAGAAGGATCAAGCATGCAATGGTCAAAGAATGATAGGATTGTTAGCATCGAATTGGGCCCGTTTGTTATGTTCAATTATTTAAGTTAGCTTGTACCCTAAGTTAGCTTGTAATGGATATTTGTGAAAAAGCACATTAGTTTAGTATGTTAGGTTTATTATAAATAGCATACTAGTCTCTCATCATTGCATACTGCAAATCCTAATTTAGAGTGAGAGAGTTATTTGTTATTCTTGAGTACTTGTAATCTGATTTAAAGAGAAATCAAAGAATAGTAGTTAATAGCCAATTCCTTTATGTTCTTCTTGTTTTCCATCTTTTCTATCCTTATTTGTTTCTTGATCATAAAGAAACAAGTTTATACTTTGTTTTGAGGTATCATTTTTCATAACAAAAAGCTTTGTGTTTCAGATAGGCTGTTGCCCATAATTCTAAAGACAAGATTTGGTTCTGACACTCTGGTGTTCCTGCGCTACAACAACAAAGTAGTTTCTGAACTACTCATCAGTCAGTCATCAGAAGAACGAAGACAAAGTAATTGATCTCTTCCAAGCTTAATACTTCAGAATCAGAAGTACATCATCAGAAGATAAAGATCAAGAAACTTAGTCAAGAAGAAAAGAGTACAATAACAGTAATATTCATAGTAGTTATTATCCCACTGACTTAAACCATTATTGCAAGAAGCGGGTATAGGAAAGTGATGTTACATACTGTTCCAAACCTCTCTTGAATATATTTGTTGGGATTCAACCGTTGGAAGGAGAAAAGACTTCTTTATCCTTACAACGACTCTTTTCATCTAGAGGCTATATAAAGAAGACTAAAGCTTCAAATTCAAGAGACGAAGATATTGGTAATGAAGACAATGTCTAAGTCCAAACAACGTTGATGTTCTTAATAGAAAATATTTACAATGTTGTAGAGATGAAATGAATAAGAAAGGAGTTGTTTCTCATATCTTGTTTAATAAAGAAAGAAGATAAATATGAAGAATTCTACAAGATGTTATTCAACTATCAATCATATACATCTTGGAAGAATTATGAAGAAGCAAAGAGTTGTTGCTCATATCTTACTCAATGAAGAAGATGAAGACAAGAAGACTACAAGATGTTGCATTTAATTTAGATTATATTCATCTATGTAGAAAGATTGTAAAACACAAGAGTTATTGCTCAGATTGTGTTATTTCTTAAGAATCTTCATGTAAGTTATTTGTACACAAGAGTTGTTGCTCAGAACTGTGTCAAACAATATGTACTTAAGATAGGAGCAAACTGCTTAATTAAAACCACTAATGTAATCTCCAGAAAAATAATTTTGTTTAGAATTGGTGGTTCCTCAAGTGATCGAGTGAAGATCAGAAAGATTGAGAAGACGAGTGGTTGCGGCTTTCGTAGATGAAATCTTATTCTAAGGAGAGCAGTTGGTCAGAATCCTTATGGGGTCAATGATCGCTAACATCTCTAAGTGTACCGGGTGGATTATAAATCTTAGGAGATGGCTAAGGGTCACTGTGAGAAATCCCTCATAGAAAGATCAAGTTTGATCAGATTTCTGATAGGGTCAATTATCATTATATTTCGTAGAGATCATTGAACGTATCATTGTGTTGTTTCTCAAGTGATTGAGTGAAGATCAGAAGACTTGAGATGACAATGGCTACGGGTCATTGTGAAATCCTGTTAAGAAGACCGAGTGGGGCAGATTTCTTAAGGGATCAATGTTTGTTGATCATTGTGTTTGTTAGTCACTGGCAAGTAGCCCGTGCGATTGTAATCAATTTGATTATAATAGATTAAGTCCTCGTTGAAGGCAAAATCACATGAGGAGGCAGGACTGGAATAGCCTAGTTAATGATAATTGAATGTGTCTCTTTATATTTATTGCATTCTATATTCTTTTATAGTTTAATCGAATAATTTTCTAAATGAAAATATTTTCTTAAGACCCAATTCAAATCTCCCTTTCGTATGTTTTTCTCCACTTTCATTGGTCAAAGTCAACCATGAAAGAAGAAAAATCCAAATTTTATTTGAAAAAAAAGACCATTACATGCATATTCCATTTCAAGTCACATCTAACGTTGTTACAAGAAATTCCATTATATCACCATTACACCATTGAAATCATAAGAAAGTACATGTTTGACCTAGATTTGACTTTTGTTCAACTATGACTCTATGGTCAAATAGATGACCAAATTTACCCTAGAAGCTATTTTCCAATTGGGTCCTCATTTTTCTTAAATCTCCAATGCACCACATGTCTTGAACAGAATCGTGTTCAACCATGAGCATGCCATCTTCATATACAACCTGCATTATTGACAAGAAATCAGCTCACCAAACAATCACTTCATACAACATACTCAAACCATCATGACAAAACCCATTGCCATAAGCCAATTTGCACCAATTCCCAAACAGTTCTTAACCTTCCCTTAACCACACGCACCATTCATTCACTATAACCGCCACACTCTTCTCTCACAATCACTCCCAGATTCTCTCTCTGAACCACCACCTTCAGCCACTCTTCATCTTCATCAACATTACCTTCTGCAATCTCTCTCCACCATTATTCTCCTCTCAACTTCAATCTTCACCTCTCTCACACTCCGCTAGCCACTCCTCAACGCTCATCACCTCTAAAACCTTTCAATTACCCACAATAATTCTCACTATAAAGCTTACCACAGTCACGCACGCAACAACAACAAAGAAACAGAAGCACATAAAAGAAGAAGAAATAAGCAAGAAGAAACAAAATTAAAACAGGGAAGATAAAATATGTACCTGAACCGTGAAAGTTTATCCGGACTTCAAAACGGTAATAGCTCTGTTTGAGCTTCCATTTTTGAAAACCTTAATGCTTTCTTGCATGCTTTAATCGTATCGTGCGTTTATTGGCTCTGTTTGCCTTTAATCTACATAGTGCTTGCGTTTTCCTTAATTTCTAGGGTTAATTGTTTGGATACAATTTGATAGTTTAGGCTTGTTTTCTGAGAGATCTAAGATGAGAGTGTGAAAGAAGGAGGGAAGACAAGCAGAGAGATGATGATTTGAGGCTGGTTGGACCTCCGCCGCCGCCGAAGGAATTTCCGGCGCGGCGAAGCAAGTAAACGGAAATCTCCATCGGACGAGAGAGTGAGAAAAGTGAAACGAGAGGGATATAGTTGATTATGTTTGGGAGCTGAAGAGTCACCATTACAATAAAAAACTCACCGTTTTGCCTTTTTTTTTTTATTATCCTAATTGTTTTCTTATTTTTTATCTGATATTGTTAACTTGATTGGGCTTTAGGCCCATTGAAACACTACACACACCCCTTCTTTTAGCGGTTTTTCCTAATAAAGAATGACATTGGGATCATGTTTTCAGCCCCATCTCCCAGCTTTGCTTTTTCCAGCTTTTTTTTGTGGTGTTTTTGGTCTCATGATGAGTTAACTGGGCTTAACCAAAGCCTAGTGACCCCATACATGCTCTTTCTAATTACACCCCAGACCTTGTAGCATTTTTCCAACATTTTTGGTTAGAATATCCTCATCATGAAAATGTTTTTTAGATTAATTTCTAGAAATAATTTTAGGTCATGATTTTAATTGAATTAGTCTTTCATAAAGAATGATTAATATTATAATTAAATTTAATGTGACTTTTAATTAGAAACTAGTTCCATTTGAATCATTCAACATCATAAATTTTCTCCATGCATTTTGACCACATTTTTCATTAACTTTAGCTTATATTTTGCTTGGTGTATGATTAAATGGTTGTGTGGATGTATGGCTTGTATGGATTTAATTCTTGTATGGTTTATGATCCATTCTCTAATTGTGGATAAAATGTTCCCACTATCCATGAAAGTGCATGGATTATGATTCATCCCCCCATTATGGGTAAAATATCCCCATATCCCATGACGTAATAGAATATCTTTACTTTCCTTTATTGCTTTCCACTATACTTTCATTAACTTAACATAAACAAAAACGATAAAAAAAAAAAGTAGCACTTGATCCAACACCAAGTGTTTTCAAAATCAAACTCAATTGAATACCTCGTGAATGTTTGGTACAACGTCAAGTACTTCATACTTTCAATTCACACAATTGAAACAAAAAATTTAAACGCTTGATCCAACGTCAATTTGTCATTTTCAAACCTCTTTTCACAACAAAAATGGAAAGAAAAAGAAAGTGATTAGTCGTAGGCCTCTTCCTTCCCCGAGTATTTAGACACTATTGTTGAGCTCCCTGTCTAGATGCTCGCCTTCCAAATCAATACACTCTAAAATAAAACAAGTGTAGTCCATTTCTTATTGGACTAAAAAGAGAATAATTGGGCGCATGCCTATTCTTCTTCGAGTGATAGGATACTGACGTTAGACTCCCTATCTGAATACTTGTCTTTCAATAAAGAAATGTGACTATACTCGCCTCACCTTTTCATAACAAAAACTTTTGGATGAAAAATGAAGTGATTGGGCACATGCCTCTTCCTTCCCCAAGAATTTGGATATTATTGTCGAGCTCCCTGTTCGAAGGCTTGTCTCCATATAAAATCAATTTTAACCAAGCAAACCTCACTTTTCTGCCTTAGGGCATTCAAATTTTTTTCAAACAGGACATGTTATTTCTGTTCTACGACAATACAAACAAACGCTTAAGTCTCTCATGCGCGAGCATACAAGCAACGCTTAACTATTAGAACGCGGGCTTTAACATCTTCTAATAAAAACAACCAACAAACACTTAATCTATACCCCATGAGCTATGAGGCTCTGACTTTCTCATTGTACTATGAGAATATAGGCATATGATTTTGTTAGACGATGACAACGGTATTTAGAGGGAGGTGAATAGATACCCCTTTAAAAATTTATCCAAATAAAATTTGGTTTTGAAAAAGTTTTATCTAAGTACAACAAGGAAGCTTTTTCAAATTATCGTCTATACGAACGTTATCGGAAAGCTCGAATATGCAAACCGTAAATCAAAATTGATATGGAATGAGAACTATAATATGAATTAATAGCCTTGAATCACTTTGCAACTTATTTACTATTTAATCAATTTCACTTAGCAAGTCTACTTCCAATGGTAATATTAAAAGAACTAGTTAAGTCAATTTATCAAACACTTGATGTGCAAGTGAATTTTCAGAATTTTTCCTTTGATTGTATTGATCCATAAAACCACTTATAATCAAAAAGTGATTATAATTTATATCAACACTCGAATTAAAAATCAAAATTGATTAGGAAAATTCTTACAATTAAAATGATAATGCAATGTTATTTGATAAATCGAACAATGAATATCAAAGCAAGTAAAATCAAAAATAAAAGTGACACGAGGAATTTGTCTTCGTAGTTCCCCACTATTGTCCTTACGTGTGGGTACGTCTGCGCCTAATTCCAATGGAATTAGGATAATTCTTACTATGCAAAAATGTCGATACAAGAGAAGTGTTCAAGAGCAACTCCATAAACCTTAAGCTTGTTGTTGATTCAACACATTCTCTTTCCTTGAACTTGAGAGAGACCAAGAACACAATATATGAGAGATGACTATCTAGATCTTGCTACTCCTTTGCGCTCTTTATCTCTAAAGCTTTCGCGCACCGTCAATCTCAAACTATTGCAACACAAGACTTCGATTCTATCGGGTATTCTGAATTACTTCCTTGTAAAGATTTAAAACATTCCAAAGTTCCTTGCAAAGATTTTAAGCACTCCAAGGTTATTTACTTTACCGCAATTATCTCCCAAACCTCTTGCACGAAAACTCCTAAATCAACCAATGATCTTGGAGGACAAACCCACGGTTTTTCCTAGATGAAAACTTCTATAAAACTCCACCTAATACACAATTAGGCACTAGTAATCCTCATCTAGATGGAACCTTAACAGAACATCGTTACAATGTCTGATCGGTGGATTTAGAACTGACTGTTTAAAGCTGGTTCGCGAAATGTCGCAGAAGCAAGAGTCGCCACCGTCTTTTATTTTCTCCAATATGGACAGGACAAAAGTACAGCAAAGTTCCTTATGAGATTAGCTCTCGGTTCGGGAGGTAGATTTATAGAAAGGGAAGGTGTTAGCATCCTTTCTATCCATGGTTATCCATGGGCTCTTAGATACTTGCTCATTTGTGTTTTCAAAATGCTTTCTTTTCAATTGTGAGTGGGTTTGAAAAAAAGTTTCGTTTAAAGATTCCAGATCGACTCTTGTATCAGTCCTCAAGAGTGTTTGAAAAATTGTTTTGAAAGCTTTTTGAAAAGTGTCGGTGTGAAAAGAGTTTTGATTCGTTTTTGAAGAGAGCAAGTATCCATGAGTCATCTACCTACCCTAAGGAATTAGGCTGTGTAAAAGTCCTTAAGGTAGTGCCATCCCACCATTGAGAGGTAGGTAGCACCACCGTTGGAGGTGTTCGGGTCAATTCGTTTGTTAGGGACAGTGTGGTCACCAGAGCAACAGTAGGATACCTTAGAAGCTACCTTTATGCCATTGATCCTTTTTAATCTGAGGCAACCATTCTGAGGCAACTGGATCATGTTATGGACATAAGGACTTACTAAAACGTCCTATACTCGACGACCACGTTTCGAAGGCAAGGCAACAGTGAGGCGTACCCTAAGAGTGGTGTGTGAATTTGTGTGTTATTTTCAGTTATGTTTTATCTTGTACATGTATCATGGTGATCTACGCTTGTTTTTAATTTAGGCCATTCATTCTTTCATGCAAAGTTTAGCAGTTTAAAAGTGCGGAAATTAAAGTGCGGAAAGATAAATCCTACGCTATTACAAGGCGCGGGTCTATACATCGCCAAATTAACAAAGACCCGTTTTGAATAAAAAAATGCGGAAAGTAAATAAATTCCTAATTACTATTATAAGGCTTGAGCAATTATATAATATTCACAAAGGAAAATAAGAATAAATGCGTGAAAGAATTAAAGTTGAACGTTCGAGGGCGTTGGACCCTTTTGAAATTAAATTGAAATAAGAAAGTTAATTATTTAATAAAAGGAAAGAAATGTTTTATATGTTTTTGTTTTATGAAATAAAGAAAATTAAAAAATAAAAGAAACCCTAATTCTAAGTTATTTTTAATTATTAATGAAAGATATTAAATTTTAACCTAATTTACTAGTTAATTAATTTATTTACATGTTTATTTACAAAATAAATTAGTAATTAATAATAATGATAATAAGAAAATTATTTATTAAAAAAAATGTTGGAAAGTTAAAAACCCTAGTTTCTAAATATTTTAATTTGTTAAGAAAAAAGATTTAAGTTTTAAAACCTAATTTACACTAATTAATTATTTACATTTATTTACAAAATGAATTAATAGAAATTAATATTAAGAAAAATAAACATTTTTAGTTTCTGATTTTTTTTTATTATGAAAATTAATTTGTGAAATTAAATAAACAATTAAAAGCAATTAAAAGAATCAAAAGGAAAATCAAATAAAAAATAAACATGATGCAAACCATGGGGTGTCTGGCCCATATAAGAGGTTTTTTAGAGCATTTTTGGCCCACTGCATCAAGAAGCCTGTTTGACTTTTCAGCGCGTGTGCATGAGCGTTGACTGAGGTACATGGTAGACCTCCATCCATAGCCTTCATATGGATCATCATGCATATGTGGCAAGCCAGCAGGTGGAGGCGTATGGTGAACCTTGGATGAAGCGCTGCGTGGAAACATGTTATGGAGAAAAATATGAAATATAAGAGGGGGACCTGGGAATCGAACCCAGGTCCCAGTACCTGCAAGCCACCTCATCCACCATCCAGACTAACGCGTTTATTTGTTAACATAGTGGAACATGAATAATATAATAGAAAAAGTAATATTATGCTGAACAATCAAAAAACGCGCCAACCATTCAAACCATCCAACCACGTCCAAACAACTCAGCGTCTTCTTCCTTTTTTCCTGTAAATAAAAGCAAATAGCGGGGGTTTTAAACCCCCACTAAACTCAACCTGAAAAAATAGCGATTAGGGCATAGATGAATATAAAAAAAGCGCGAGGTGTGAGTTAGCTTCGTCTGAATGTCACGATTTCAATGGTATCAATTTGAGGGTCCAATTTTGCCATATGTGTGAACCCCTAAATCCAAGCTTCTGAAACCCTAGAGAACGTTAATGGCAACTTTTGATACAGGCATTCTTAGTTCAATTCAAGGGTA